AAATCTACTGTAGAAAATTTAAGAAGAGACAAATCTAAAATAAATGTTGAAGAATTGTATGACCAATCCTTAAAATTATAGAAATATGTGAATATCTTATCTGAATAAGCAAACATAGCTTTAATGATATCAGAATAATTACCTAAAATAAGTGAATTTATTTAAATGATTCAAAGATTTATTACAAAATAATAATTTTTATCAAATGACATACTTAGAATTGTTGGAATTGAAAAAGTATGAATAAAATTTGATTGACTCAGTGAATAATATATAAATAAATTATGATTCATTATTTAAATATAGTAATTTATTATATCATTGTATATTATATATAAAAATTAATAAATTCAATATATATATATCAAATTTTTTATTATTTATATTATAAAATAACTTTAATCATTCTATCAGTTATTTTAAGAATTTAGATTATATTATATTATATTATCCAGTTTAATTAATTATTACTTCTAATAAAGTTAATCTTTTTTTTTTAAGAATGTTATGACTCTAAATTAAACAATATTATTTATAATTTTGTATCATTTTATCATTTTTATAGAATACTAGGATTTTATTTACCTATGTTTAATGAAATCTAATTTTTGAGAGTGAAAGCTTAATTTTCTAAAATTTACATAATTAAAATATAAATGTGTTGTGAAGATAAGAAAACAAATATTAAGGATTAATAACTATAATTGAAATAAGAATAGAAAAATATTAAAATAGTAATTTTAGGAGATAGTGGAGTTGGTAAAACATCTCTTATTAAGAAGTTTTGTTTTGATACTGTAATATTTTCTTATTGATTTAGCTATCAGAAAAGGAATAAACAACTTTAGGTGTTGCATATTAGAATGCATAGATTATAATTAAGGGATAAGTATTAAAATTACATATCTGGGATACAGCAGGAGGTGAACGCTATCGATCATTGGCACAATTATGTTATAGAGATGCTAATGTAGCAATTTTAGTATATAGTATTACAAGTAGAAAGTCATTTGAATAGATTTATTATTGGGAATAAGAATTACTTGAGAGATGTAGTAGTATATTTGATATAATGTAAGTAGTTTAGATTTGTGTATTGGAATGGCAGGGAACAAAAGTGATTTAATTGAAGAGAGATAAGTATTTAAAGATGAAGCTTAGAAATATTCAAAATAAAGAGATTTTGTATTTTATGAGACCTCTGCAAAGACTGGAGAAGGAATTTAAATGCTATTTACTGAAATAATAGAAAAATATTTAAGATAAAAATAATAATGATATACTTATTGTAAATGATTAATAAAAAAATTCAAGAATTCTTATTAGTTGGAGTAGATACTTATTTGTTTGTTTATGAGAATTAAGATAAATTTTCAGGAATTCTAATTTATCTTGTTGAATTATATAATCTGACCATATCAGATACATCTGAATTTTCTTAATGTACAGGTTAATCTTCAAATTAATCTATTATTTATTTTCTATGTGAATTTTGAATTGCTATTCTATGTAAATCTATATGTTTTTTTGATTCTGTCTTTTATAATTATGTATTAGGAATATCTAAAAATTAAATATTAATAATACCAGATATATCTCTAGAACCTAATCTATTCAACCGAGAACTATATTAACTAAATTTTGAAGCTCCAACAACAGAAGGTGCTTTCATTTCTAATTTAGCAAATGATCCATTTGAAACACAGGAAATAGATTCAATAGAATTTAGATTACCAGTAAATGCAGGTTATCTTTATTCTAATGTCATATCTATGGAACCCACTTTTACATTATTCTTGAATTATTAATTATATTCTGATAAATTGCTTTAGTATTTTTCTTACTTAATTTATTATTATTTTACTAATTCTTTGAAATATGGATGTCTTAAACACTATAATTAATAATATTAATACTTCAGTTGAACTCAATCTATAAGATGGTTTCTTTTATAACATTGATCTAATTAAATCTTACATTTAAATTGGAGCTGATTTAAAAAGAGAATCATCAAAATCTATTTAACAATCTTTATTTGCTTTTAAAATTGCTTTTTAATCTTTTCCAGTAAATGGTTATCCTCCTGTCTATATAATTATAATAAATATTTACTATCAAGAGATACAGTATTACACCAGCACTAAAAACATCACATTTTTCATCATAAAATTATTAGCCATCTACATAATCTAAGATTTCAGGTGCTACAAATCCTGGAGTTCCACATCTTTTAAATAATATATTTTCATCAGTTAGTTTTGCAGCCAAACCAAAATCTGCTAATATTAAATCATGATTATTTTCATTTGAACGTAATAACAAATTTTCAGGTTTCAAGTCTCTATGTGCAATTTAGAATTGATGTATATGATTTAATGCTGATAATAAATTATAAGCCAATTTCTAAAGGGTTTCAGCTGGTAGAAAGCCTAATAATTACTGAATTGAAAACCTGTTTCTCTGACTCTTTATAACAATTCACCTCCACTTACTATATCAACTACAAAATAAATGGAATTGGTTGTTTCATGTACTTCATGTAACTTGACTATGTTTTGATGATTTAATTTTCTCATCACTTACATTTCATTTAATAAACTTTCAATTCCTTTATGCTATTATTACATAAAGGACTTGCTAAATGCTTTGATAGCATATTATTAATTATTCTCTTTTCTTGTTGCCAAATAGACTTTAGCAAAACTTCCTTTTCCTATTAATTTTGAAACTATGAAAGCATCATGAAAATTCTCTAATAAACAAACTCTTCTGAAATGTTACTTCCATTGATCATACAATAATTTATCAGATAGAAATATATCCAATGTTTTTGTTTGAAATGTTAATTTAAATCCAAATTATTGTTCATCAGAATTCAATTATACCATATGATCAGCTCCAGGATCAATTAAAGTGAAATGCATAGTTGCAAGTGGAGCACATTTTAATCTATCAACAGTAACTTTGTAAATATATTCTAATCCAAGCACAATGAATATTGGTTTTACCATTAACTTCCCTGCTGTCAAGAATTCTTATTCGATCAAAAAAGATTAAGACTTATATAATATTATTCATTATATGTACATCTAAGACAGATTTATCACAAGGTTACCAAAATTTATTTCTAGTTTTTCCAAAATCAAAGATAGAAACTACTTTTTAATCAGCCATTCTCAAAATTCACTGAAACAAAAATAATAATTTTATATATATATATAAGTTTAATAATTCTCAACACTTTTTAACCATTTTATTAGTTCCATAATTTATTTCCTCTTCTATTTTAAATGAAAAATCATCTTCTTCAGCTTATGAGTTCTTTAATTAAGCAAATAATGTGCTTGTTTATAATTCATTTCTATAAAGATTCTAATCATTTCTAACACTATTACATGATAAAGAGAACACATCAAAGTACCTAATTAGAGAGGATTCAGTATTGATTTCAATGAATCCCAAACTTAATCCAATTTAGAAGCTTGATCTTAGATAGACTTTATTTCGTTTTTAATTTTATCTAAAGAACTTAATAAATGAATTAATATAGTACTTAGAAATATTTTATTTTAATTATTAAACCTTTGTCTAAAATTTCTTAAGTTTGGTGAAATTCTCAAATTTAACATTCGTACTTTCAAAACCTTCCTTTAACCATTCACTGTAATCTCTATTAATATAAAATAACAATATAGATCATACTGGTCAGTATTCGCAAACATATCTTTCGAATTTTAACATGCATATAATAAATATTTCACCTACATAGGTAACATTATTTCAGCTATACTATCAAAATATACTCTTGCAGTATCATTTCTTTCTTAAGAATTTGATTATATTCTATATCTTAATGCATCCATTATTATTCCAATTTCATCAAAACTAGATTTTTTTATTATACATAATTCCAATTTTTCAAACATCTATTGTTATTATTCTAAAAATAATTAAAACTATATATAATTAAATAATTTAAGTACTTTTTATGTTTTTTTGTTCACTATTTCCATAGATTAGGCTTGATTCTTACAAATATCCTTTAATTTCTCATTCTCTTATTATAATTCTTACACCTATTTTTCTAGCAATTATTAATATATTTTTTTTCTTTCTCTAGAGTTTTTTGCAGATTCCCTATTTTTTGCTAATTTTAATTATGTAGGATCTGTCAATTCATTTGAAGTCTCATTTTATAAGTTTTAGGATCGCTTTCTCTCTAATTTCTATTGACTCTTTGATGATCTTGGAGTTATTGAAGGAGATACTGAATTATTATTTGATGTTCTTTTCTCTAATAAAGAATCAATCTTGTCTCTATATATGCTCTTACCCTAATTTTAAGGGATGAGCATTTTAACTTCAGGTTTAAACTTACTATTAATTTATTCTGCTGATTCTATATATAATATAGATAATTTATAACCTAATCGAAAATCTTGATCTCCAGAATATTGTGATCTGCTATTCATATCTGAGTGTATAGATTATTTCTATTTTGATTAATTTGAAGACTCTTCTTGAATTAATAAATTATCTAATCTAACATCCTCTATTTTCATTTCAAAAAATTAATCCAGACTATTTTTTACTTCGGAATCTATCAATTAAGATTGATGAAAATTATTCTAAAAACTCCCTGCTTGTTAATCGTTGTATACCAAATAATTCCTACCAAAACTCAATCTAAAATATTATATAAATTTCTTTACTATTACTCTTAACCTGATCCTGGTAAAAAGTCAGCTGTACCTGCTGTTCCAACATAATTATAAAATTATCCACTCGAATTAAAGCTGTCTGCCATTATAAATTATTATATAAATGTTTAAATATAATTATATTAATATTAGTATTAGAGTATCATTTTAAAGTTTAGTTGAGATCTTAAAAATATGTTATATATTTTCTAATAATTTTTAAACTAAAAAATATATATAATCATGAAAAATATAGATATTTAAATTAAAAACAAATTCAATTGTTTATTACTTATAATGTCATTCATGATTTCCAAAATTTTAGTATTCTATAAAATTGGATGTATTGTTTGAGGTTGAATTATTAGGGCCAAACTTTTGATGATGAGATCTACATTGACTAGGTTATCTAGTCTTTATAAAATTAGACATTTATTTAAATATTTTGTTCTATTTCTTGAGGTCTGAATCTAACATTATCTCTTTATTGATTTCTCTAAAGCTTAAATACAAATTATGCTCCTTAGTTGTCCAATGACCTAAAAAAATCAAACTAAAAATATTACCTATGTTATATAACTTTCTTTTTGTTGATTTTTTTCCTTTGCCCTTATTATTGGAGAACTATAATTTAGGTCTTTTTTTCAAGAGTAGAGGTGATTTAATGTTTTCAAGGTTTTTCACAATTTCTACTGGTTCAAATTTAGACTATTGTATAAGGCATTGTTCCTATATTACAGAATTTTCTTGTTTGATAATTGAAGTATGTTGTTTATAACCTTCAAAAAGTAGGTTAGTTGATTAAGCTTACTGATTGTTTTAGAACAGGTAATTATTGATGTAGAAATATTGTTGAAATTAGTTGAATTGCTCCATATATGTGTATGGATAATTGTAAGTTTAAGAGTCTAATATAATAATTTTACAATACATTAGAAGAATGGAGGAAATTATGTAAATGGAAGCATTAGGAAGATATTGAGGTTTTATAATTAAATAAAAATTAATAATTCGGATTTATCATTAACTTGAAATTTACTATCTACATTTATTTATTTAGTGAAAATGTAGAATATTAATATTCATGAATAAAGTATTTTTCAAATTTTCTAAGATAAACTAAAAAATGTTAAATCCTATTTTATATTAATCTTTTTAAAATTTATAATAAATGTTTGTTTTAATTAGTTCTAAGTATCTATACTTATTTTGAATTCAATATATATCATTTATTAAAGAATTTTCAATTCTAATTATAGTAAAAGATCAATTTCAAACACTAGAAAATGAAGTTTAAATAATTTAATTAAATAAGTTTAATATTTTTTTTTTGTCAATTTAAGTATTTAAATTAATATTATAAAACTAGGATGAATGTATGGATGCTAGCTATTTTGATACTATTAATTCTTTGAAATTTATCATTCCTATTATTATAATTTATATAAAGATTACAAACGGTTAAGATTATTTTGTTTGATTCAGCTTTCATCATTTTAATTTATTCAATTTTAATTATTCATTTTATCTATATATAGTTATTTTGAGTATAAGAGCTTTTTTATACATCTTACTTTTAATAGTGATTTACTAAGCTTTCCTCTTTTTGATCTGTAAATTATTTGTATATTTTTCCCTCTAATTTTCATTTTATATATCTACTTATTTATTAGTCTATTAATCTAAGGATTACTTATTCTCATAATATCCTTTATCTTTATAGTATTCTTATTATACAAACATAATGATAATTAACTTTTATTAAATCCTAACATTTAATTTTCTTTTATTCTCTCTAAATATTCCCTATTTCTCTTGTAGTTCATAGAGTGATTAATTCATAAATATACACTTTAAAGAATTTCTAATTATAGTATAAACATTTAGAAATATAAGAATTATTATAAAAATTAAAAATTGTTTACATAAAAATAATTGTAAATAAATTAGCAATATAAATTCCACGTCAAATTTGGATTAATCACGTCTGAAAATTACAACAATATTGTGCCTTTGTATACCTGGAATATTGATTTTCAAAATACATATTTTATATAATGAATTCAAGAAGCACACATCTCACTGAATATGCAATTAAACATATAATTGCAGATGAATTCACATCTTGGCAATCAATCAATCCATCAAAAATCTAAATAACAAGACTTGCTGGATTGACCAATATTACCTATAAGGTTGAGACTCAAGAAGAAATCTTACCCAAAACTATTGTGTTTAGAGAGTATAATAACTATTAATAATAGATTTGGAAATGCAGAAGGATTTGTAGATTCCAAATAAGAAAGAATAGTTTTTAAAACTATTTCTGATTTAGAATTAGGACCTAAATAATTATAATGTGGTGATATATGGAGAATGGAAGAATTCGTTACGAATGGTGTACATCCAACAAATGAAAAGATGGGCTCATCTTTATTTCAATTCAAATCAATGGGAGTCTTATAAAAATTTCATTAAATGGAAATACCTATTCCTAATAATGGTACTTCTCTAATTCTTACCAAAACATTGTCAAAGAATATGAAAAATAATGTAATAAAGAAGATTGAAAAAAGAGAATTATTTACAGATGTTGAACTCAAACAATTAGAAAATATTGAATAATTCTTAAATAATGATGAAGAATTCAAATATTTATAAGAGATGATTTAAAAGGAGAATAATGAAGAAGTAATTATATTTAATAATAACTTGTAGTTAAAATTTTGTCATAATGATTTAAATTAATTAAATATATTTAGTACCACAAAAAAAGACAAAGAAATAGTCTTTATTGATTTTGAATATTGTTCTTACAATTATCCCTCATATGATATTGCCAATTTTCTTAATGAATCAGCCATCAACTATTAATATGAAGATGAACCATATTATGTGTTAGTTGATGAAAACTTTGATACTGCTCCTATCTAAGCTCACTTTTTAGCTTTATGTTATCTAATTCATTAGATTTGTTAAGAGAATGAGATCCATTAAATTATTAGTCTCATCACATAAAAAACAAATAAAAATAAAGATGAATTAAACACATTTATCAGTTTGATTAAATAATAGGTTTTAATATAAAGAATGAATGAAAAGTAGATTAATGAATTTTTTTAATCTGTATCTTATTTAAAGAGAAGAATTAGAAGATTGCAAATGATATCAAATTTAAATTGGGTTTGGTGGAGTGTTTTACTTGCTCATGAAAAGAATTCCTTAAATTTTGAATATATTGATTATGGATTTTTGAGATTTAAAATGTTTGAAAGACTATTGGAATTAGAAAAAGCAAGATAAATTGTTGAATGAAATTGAATTTGTAATTAAAATGTTATATTATAAAATAAATTCTTATTTTCAATTTTATTATATTTTATTTATTATGTAATAAATATAAAAAGAAGAGGTATGAATTGAATTTACTAAGTGAGATACCATATTTTAAGTATTGTTAAAAGTTAGGTGGTGTATAAAGAAGAGATTTATATGTGTCTCCAACAAAAGCTGCAACATTTCTACATCTAATCAAAAATGTAATTTTAATTAAAGATGAAGAGATGTGATAAGGATACTGCTTTAAGATTTACTTAAAGAAGAATTTGTAAATGGGATACTACAATTAAACAAGATGGCCCTAGTAAGTGTAGGATATTGCGACCTAAAGAGAACAAAGAAGTAATATTATTAATTATAATAATTTAGAAAAGAATACATGGATGGTAAAATATTGGATTAGAAATGTTTTATGAAAATAAAGATACAATAGCTGATATTAATTAATTGCATTTAGATTAAGATAATGATACAATATAAAAAGAAATTGAAAAGAATGAAATGAAATTAAAAAATGATTTTAAAAACAAAATAGCTCATTTACAATAATTTTATAAAGAACTTAATTAAAAATATAGTTTCAGTAGTAGTGATCCCAATTTTAAAGAAAAAATTACTATGGCAAAATTAGATTTAATTAGTAAAAGAAATCAACCAATTAAATATCTTAAGACTAAAGGAATGAAATATATTGAATTATTTAATGAGATTAATCAAAATAAAAAATTAGATGATCATGATTTATTTAATAGACTACATGTTTTTAATTAACTTAGAACTGATGATTTTAAAGTAAAGGAAAAATTATTGAGTGATCTTTATAAATAAAAAAAGGAGACTTAAAATATAAATCATAAAGAATTGTAACATAATATTCATATTTATGATAATATTTAAGAATAAAGTGAATAAATGTTAAAAATTATTGATTAAAATAATGATTTCTCTATGAATTTAAGAAAAAATAAACAAAAATTGATTGTTTCATAAAAAACTATAGCATTTGCGGAAGATTTTAATAAAACAAAATACATATTCAATTATTCAAGTAAGAATTAAATGTAAAAAATGTTTGAAATACCTGAAATTCCTTAGATTCCTTAAAGTACTGAATCCATTAAATTAAGGAAGCATTTTTCTTCTCCTTAAAGTTTGGATGATCATTTTGATAATTGTCTAAATTAATATGCACATGAAGTTCTAGAATATTAATAGGAAATGCTAGACAAAGATATTACAACAGAAAATATTGAAAAGATGTTGTAAAAAAGAGAAAATCTAATATGTAGTTAGATAAGAAAGGTATCTAAGACTTCACATAGTCATTAACCTAGTATTCACTTAGAGTTAAGTAAAAACTAACAGCAATCTTCAAGAGATAAAGAATCTACAAAAACAGGAAACTCTTTTAATATAAAATAACGATCTTATCTTGTTAGTCCATTTAGTAAATCATGACTTTAATTTTATAAATCTAATTACAAATATTTTTGTAAAATCTTCAATCCTTTAATAAAATTCTTATTTTTCCTTAAGGTAATTGTCTACATGATTAAATTTCAACACTCAAAGGATTGACAATACAAAAATATTAACCATCAATTTAAATGTAACTATTTACAGTATTGTTATTATTTGATTCTTAAAATTTAATAAGCAAAGGTCCACTAGTTTATGCCAATCTTGTAGCATTACCAGCCAATACTCTAATTAAGATTTATAAATAAGATTTAACCTTTCAGATCCAATTCCTGCAATAGAATCAAATGATATAAATTCTAATAATCCATCAGAAAATGAAGTTTTTTCAGAATATAATTTATTCTTTTGTAAAAATTCTTATGGAGTTTTGCCATTTTTCCAAATATCTGTAATTCCAGCAGCATATGAATTGATATTTAAACATACTAATGTTGCAGGATTGCCAGGAACAGTTAGAGCATTTTTATCTTAACAATTAACAGTTTTAAATAATGTTTTTTATTCTTTATGATTCTAAATGATTTATATTCAATAAATACAAAATGTTCAACAAATTCAACAACTTAATTTAATCTTGGATTTTTCAAGAACATTTTTTATATTCCTTATAAACAATAACAAATTTTATTAACATGTCTATTAGTTGTTCTATTCTTATCAAAACCATATCCAATTCTTGCATCTACTCCAATACTAAAATAGTTGGACATTTTCTTTTCTAAAATATTAGTATTCATCCCATCTAAATCTTTGATGCTTTATTTAGTATAACCCTTATCGTTTTTCTTTATTTCTTAAAAATATCCATCCTATTAAGTTTAGATAGTAATATCCCAAATATCAAAAAAACATTGATGACCTTTCTACCATGATCTTATATATTATTTTAAGATACGATAGTCATTTTCTAACATATTTCCTGGTATATCAGTATCCCATCCTTTGATTAAATATAGTTAGACTACCTAATGCGTTTGAAAAATCATTTCCTGTTCCACAAGGTAATGGAACAATAACTATTTGATTAATATCAATTTTCTATTGTATCATTTACTCAATCACCCACATCATGGAACCATCTCCTCCTGCTATAATGATTGGAATTTATTTATTATCTGAATTATAAAAATAAGTACTTGATCTTAAATCTTACTTTAATTTATTATAACCCTAATTTCTAGAAGGTACATTTTAAATGCTGAAGAATGATATTTGTACTTCTTTACTATCAATAATTAAAGTGATATCTGCACACTAAATTATTTATCAACTATTACATCCAATACACTAAATTGATTAGCTTTAACACTCCCACTACCAGAATTGTAAAATAAATAAAATAATCCTAAATTTAATGTACTTTGTTATTATTCACTTTCTGAGAACTGTTAATACTACATTAATGTCAATTAATTATTTCTAAATTAAATAATATATATATATATATGAATTATTCTAAACAAATCAAATAATCAATCATCAACTATTTTAATATTGTTTAAAGTTAGATTCATATATTATACTACTTGGTTTCAATTATTTCTTAGAATTTGCAATATAAAAAATAAAAAACTATTTATAATAAAGTTGAATACCCAAATTTATCTTAGTTTTTATTATAACTATCAAATTTTGATATATGATATAATATTTAAAATACAATATGATAGTTAAATCCAGTTCAATTTATGACTATATAAAATTAATTAGGATTTTTATTTATTTAAAAATATAAATAAATAATAAATACTCATCGAACAAATGTAATGCAAACAAGAATCTTTTGATAGTGAAATGACAGAATATCTATAAATTGAACAAGAAGTAGAGCTAAAATAGCTCTTTTAGCAGCTCAAAATTCAAAAGCCATAAGTCTCAAATAAACAGTCCAAAAAAATAAAGAAATTTAAATTAAACATCCAAACCAATTCAATCATCTAACGTAGAAACATAAACATAAGTTAAATTTGATATTTTTTTTTTCTCTTTCTTCAATACTATATAATTACAATAAACTAAGTAGTATCAGTAGTTCATTGAAAACTCTCTTTGATAATCATCCTCATAAAAGTCTTGTAATTTTATATCAAAATACTTCCAAATACATTAACTCTTCTTATATATAACAATTTCATAAGTTTGATGACTTGAATATTGATAACTAAAACATCAACATATTTTTATATATACAAAGGAAGAAAATTAAATTATATTATTATTATTTAAAATTGTAATCTCAGAAAAATAGCCTAAGTCAAGAGTTCAAGTAAGATCAATTATCCTTTTCTAAAAATGCTTTTATTTATTCAAACTGAAAATAATTACTATCTAATAGCCATATATGTATATTACAATTAATATATCTCAAGTATTTTATATTCTTTATATTATCAAAAATTGAGAATCATAATTTCTAAAGAGAATAGTTAAAATCTAAATGTTATTCTAATTAACTACTAATACATATATTAATTATATGGATTTCAACTAAATTTCTTTACATGAGAACATAAATCTTGCTAAAAATTGATAAAATACAAAGGATGATAACAATACTATATATATTGATAACAAAAATATTATAATTTTGTAAAGAAGTGTAAGATACCATAAATAAGTGAATTTTCCAGATATTTTTAAATTTTATATTCTATCTCAATTTTCATCCTATGTAAAAATAAAGCTAATAGGAGATAATTGTAATCATTCAACAATCAATATATGCTATATTTTATCATATAAAGTCTAAAATTTTAGGATTCACCTTTAGGCAAAAGAAAGCCTGGATAATTTTTATCTATTAATTTTCAATTTATATAACTAATCCTTTGTATAGTAAATATTATACATATTGTTAGAACTTTAATATAAATATCATCCTTACTCAAAATAACAAAATAACTACTTTAATCTCATTTGAAAATCTGATTAAGAAGAAAATAATTCTTGAATCAAAAGCATTCAAAAACATCCAAACCTTACGAATTGTTTCAAAATAAATAACCAATATTGAAATCATTCTAATCAATGTAGTTCTTAAGCAAAATTGATAGGAAAAGATATCTTTAACAGATAATAATGATATAATAAGTAAGATAAAATTACTTATAAAGATATAACTCTTATATATTATTAAAATTATTCATAACTATAATTGTATCAATCAGAATTTCCATTTTTTGTTTCATCCTTAATATTGTTATTATAATAAAATGGCAAGGGAGTAATATTACCACTGATAGCTGGTGTCAAATTTTATGTTAAAAGGTGACTAGGAAAGGCTTAAATGATGATATTAAAAGCAAACTAATTGTATAATAATTTATCGAATCTACCATAAAAAGATCGCCATCAACTTGCCCAAAAATTTTCTATTGATTAGAAAACATTAAATTTCTAAAATTATTTGTAAATGTCATGCTCTAATAAGCAGTCTAAATAATTTTATAGATTTATATATTACTTTAACTAGATTCTCATAATATTGTTATAGTTTTAACATTAATTTTACAGAAATCTGCATTTATTTATTTAGTTAACATTGCCTAGTTTTAATACAAATTAATTCTTAGTTCAATAAGTCTAATTCCTTTTGAATTTCTTAATTTATATTAATTTTCTTATCTTTAAATGTTCTTTTTATTTCTCTATTATTTTATCTGATAGTTGGATGTGTAAAATAAGCTTTTTCATCTTCTTTCAATTTTATTTTAAATCCATATTTATTTAATTATCTCATTAGACTTGAAAACTTGTTATGCTTAAAATGTTAAGGTAAAAGGTATTTTTTCATCTATTCAACATTCCAAATTACAAATCCACCTTCTGACCATCTAATTATTTCAAAATTATCTGGATTCTTAATTATTTTTATAGATCTTACATCTAAGATATCATATAAGCGCTTTAAGAATTTTTATCTCTGCTTTGTATCTATTTTTTTGAATTCATCTTTTGTTGGTTAAAGCATATAGTATAATGAATATAATGTTTATTTTATAACATAGATCTGTGAATATTTAGATTGATTTAAATAATAATTATAAATGGGATATAATCAATAATAAAAATGAATGATTTTTAATCAAATTTGCAATTCAGGTAAGTTAGTAATTAAGTCTTATTATTTCATTGATTCTGTATGTAAATTATAAATGTTTTAACTTATCATAGATTATTATTGATGTATCATTTCTATATTTGCCATCAACTATTTTTAATTTGATATTAATAACAATAGAGAAGACATAAATGTTGATGTTGAATTGACATCTTCTTAGATATTTCTTTTCCTTATTATTTGATGAATTCTTTTGTAATCATGAGTCCAATACTCATTATAAAATTCACATTGCTTTGCAGATTATCTAAAATTCTTAAATCCATAATTATTCANTATTACCACTGATAGCTGGTGTCAAATTTTATGTTAAAAGGTGACTAGGAAAGGCTTAAATGATGATATTAAAAGCAAACTAATTGTATAATAATTTATCGAATCTACCATAAAAAGATCGCCATCAACTTGCCCAAAAATTTTCTATTGATTAGAAAACATTAAATTTCTAAAATTATTTGTAAATGTCATGCTCTAATAAGCAGTCTAAATAATTTTATAGATTTATATATTACTTTAACTAGATTCTCATAATATTGTTATAGTTTTAACATTAATTTTACAGAAATCTGCATTTATTTATTTAGTTAACATTGCCTAGTTTTAATACAAATTAATTCTTAGTTCAATAAGTCTAATTCCTTTTGAATTTCTTAATTTATATTAATTTTCTTATCTTTAAATGTTCTTTTTATTTCTCTATTATTTTATCTGATAGTTGGATGTGTAAAATAAGCTTTTTCATCTTCTTTCAATTTTATTTTAAATCCATATTTATTTAATTATCTCATTAGACTTGAAAACTTGTTATGCTTAAAATGTTAAGGTAAAAGGTATTTTTTCATCTATTCAACATTCCAAATTACAAATCCACCTTCTGACCATCTAATTATTTCAAAATTATCTGGATTCTTAATTATTTTTATAGATCTTACATCTAAGATATCATATAAGCGCTTTAAGAATTTTTATCTCTGCTTTGTATCTATTTTTTTGAATTCATCTTTTGTTGGTTAAAGCATATAGTATAATGAATATAATGTTTATTTTATAACATAGATCTGTGAATATTTAGATTGATTTAAATAATAATTATAAATGGGATATAATCAATAATAAAAATGAATGATTTTTAATCAAATTTGCAATTCAGGTAAGTTAGTAATTAAGTCTTATTATTTCATTGATTCTGTATGTAAATTATAAATGTTTTAACTTATCATAGATTATTATTGATGTATCATTTCTATATTTGCCATCAACTATTTTTAATTTGATATTAATAACAATAGAGAAGACATAAATGTTGATGTTGAATTGACATCTTCTTAGATATTTCTTTTCCTTATTATTTGATGAATTCTTTTGTAATCATGAGTCCAATACTCATTATAAAATTCACATTGCTTTGCAGATTATCTAAAATTCTTAAATCCATAATTATTCAATTATCTTTAATTAACACAATAATTTTACTTTTAGAAACTGGAATAGTTAGTGGTCTTAAAATAGAGAGGCAAAATTGAAGACTTAAACTCATCTATTTAATGAATGATGACTTTATTTCCTTAATCGTTCCAACTAATAATATGTTAATTGCATTAATCCTATGAATTCACTCTAAAAAAGTACTTCTAACATAGATTTCAATTTTATTAAGAAGACAGGCATTTTAGAGTATTACATAGAAGTAGCTTATAGTAAATATAAGAATTAATGATATTCAATAACAAATTGAATTTATCAAACCGTTCGATTTGCTGAATGGTCTATATTTTAAAAATGTATTATCAATCTATATTATTTTATTTCATTATTTTATTAATCACTAATAATAGTGATTTATTTATCATACCCATTTCTTATTATATTCTTAACAATTCAAAACTTAATGATTATTATATGATATGATTTAACTTTTTACAAGTAATAAAATGTTTGAAAGGATTTTCAGAAATTTCCAAGAAAATTATGAGACTTTAATATTTCATTTTTTATACTTTTCCAACTTTTTATTATTTTATTTCATTAATTAATTCAATAAAATCAATAGGTCATCTTATATAATAATAATTACTATTAAATTATTAAATTTATTGTGGAATATAAACTAATAATCTGATTTTTGACAATTTTTAAGATATTCATCTTTTTTTATTATCTTAAATGTCTTTATTTATATAAATAGATTTTAATATTATAAAATTATGAATTGTAATTGTTTTTCTCGCTTATTTGATTTGAAATTTACTTACTATACATTAATATAAAGATGTAAAAATA